CTGCTTACTGGTTGTTATTCAATCTCACTTTGCCTCAAATTTCTTCCTGGTGAACTAAGTGTAATAAAACTACCTACCTCCTAAGGTTGTTGTGAGGCCAGAAGGGTGTGAGTCACGGATAGCAATGGTGACCCCACAGTAAGCACCCTATCTAATGTTTGCATTTACTGGTCTGAGTTCCCTGTGCTATCAGCTGAAGAATCATAAGGTTCATGCATTTGGAAAGGAGGGTTTTATTTCTTATAAATCGTTGCAGCCTGCAGACTGGCCATCTTGCAGGCTGGGTAGTGTAGCCTCTGCCCAAAGTGGAGAACGAGTACTTGGAGGAGGCGTAAAGGGAACAGAAATTTATCCTGAGCAGGGTGGCTGAATATTCATGATTAGTAGGATATGGGAGGAGTCATGAATATTTATAAACGAGAAACAGGTGCATGCATAGGAGAGCTTCATGTGTCTTCACTGGATCACGTGCTCAAAAAGATGGCAGCCTTAGCATGTTCCGAGGGTGGAGTTTTTGGTCATCTGACGTCAAAAGGTGAAGCAGAGGACATGAAAACTCTCATGACATACCCTCGGCAAGTCGGCCAAAACCAGTCCAGAGATGGTGGTCAGTTTTTAGGAAGGGATGCGTTGTGAGACTGGTGAGCTGCCACATCTAAACTGCAAAGAGGGAGGAAAATTTGGTTGCAGTTTCAGATGTTTAGCTAAAGGCGATAAAGGAATAGGTTGTTCATTTCTTGTTTTTTAGAGCTGGTTTCTGCTTACACTCAGGAAAGAATTCCGGTTAAAGATTAATAAGGAAGGGTCATACTATGGCGTGTTTGACCTCTCACCCTATAATGGCTGGGAATTCAGTTTTTAAGGTTTCTCTGGTATCCCTTTGGCCAAGAGAGGGTCTATTCAGTGAACTGGGGGAGCTTAGGATTTTATTTTTATTTCTCAATGCCAAACTAGGCTGTGGCACAGAGTATACAATGGAGGGCAAAGAACAGATACTGTTTCTGCCCTTAGCTAGTGTACCTTCTAGTTGTGTGCAGGCAATGAACAAGTAAGTCCAGAAAACACATGGATAGGCCGGGTGCAGTGGCTCATGCCTATAATCCTAGTACTTTGGGAGGCTGAGGTGGGCAGATCACTTGAGGTCAGGAGTTCGAGACCAGCCTGGACAACATGATGAAATCCCCTCTCTACTAAAAATACAAAATTTAGCCAGGCATGGTGGTGCATGCCTGTAATCCTAGCAACTCGGGAGGCTGAGGCAGGAGAATCTTTTGAACCCGGGAGGCGGAGGTTGCAGTGAGCCAAGATGGCGCCACTGCACTCCAGCCTTGGTGATAGAGCCAGACTCCATCTCAAAAATAAAATACAATAATAAAAAAGAAAACACATGCATAAATGCACAAATATACAGGGTAGCAGGGTCTTGTGATAGAAGAGATTGGGGCACCCATTTTTGGTTGTTTGTGGTACTTGTAAGTTGGCCCTACAGTGTTGTGATGTTGTTTATAAGCAAGGTGCACAGGACTTCCAACCTGAAACCCACCCTCCCTGGGAGCCTCGCCCTCCTTCCCTGGGCCAAGATAGTCGATTTCTTCTTTGCTCCTCTGCCGCATGTATACACTTCTCTACTTAACATTTTCACACTGCATTGTGACTCCTGGACACCAAGATGGAGCAGGGGACTGCTCCCCTAGTGGGCTTGACCTGCCTGAGACTATCTCTGCATCCTCAAGCCCTAAGGCCTAGCCAGTATTATGGAACGAATCACCTAAAATATGTTCCACCCTGCGTCTCTCTAGGGCAAAGCATCCGGTGGAATCCTACCTGGTGTGTACTGTGGGCTGAGGTGACTCTGTGGGTTTTGCTTTGCTATTAAACCAGAGGCAGTCATGAAAGTCCCAAGTGTTGTAAAACCCAAGTGCTTCCTCCATCCCCACCCACTCCCATTCAAGCGATTGGACTTTCAAGGAGAATTTCCATGTAACTTGAACTCTTCAACATACCGAGAATTACTATAACTGATATGGTTTCCTATCCAGGTGTTCCACCAGGTGTGGTCAATATTGTGTTTGGAACTGGGCCCATGGTGGGTGAGGCCCTGGTGTCCCATCCAGAGGTGCCCCTGATCTCCTTCACCGGGAGCCAGCCCACCGCCGAGCGGATCACCCAGCTGAGCGCTCCACACTGCAAGAAGCTCTCCCTGGAGCTGGGCGGCAAGAATCCGGCCATCATCTTCGAGGACGCCAACCTGGATGAGTGCATTCCGGCAACCGTCAGGTCCAGCTTTGCCAACCAGGTGTGTCCCCTGGGGTTCTTCTCCCTCCCCTCCATGGCCCTGTCAAGCTGGATCTGGTTCATCACAGTGCAACGCCTGGAGCAAGCAGCTCAATCCAGTGCCATTTCCGTGAAGGCAGGATCAGTACATTGTGTGATTCCCTTAACTCTCTGCTCAATTTGAACATTAATTAGTGGCCCTGTGGAGTCACAGCTTCTGTTCAGCAAACTCCTCTTCTTGAGTTGCACAGCTTTTATCAGGCACCAGCCACGGGTGGAATGATTGATTTTGCTGCTCCGAGCATCTCCATTTCTTTATTCACACAGTTGCCCTGTCTTGTCTTTTATTCTTTTCTTAAACCTTGTCTTTGCTTGTGGTTCAAATGTCCTATTCCCAGTAAACCTGACTCTCATTTCAAAAGTATTCCAAATGCATTCATACACTGAGTTCCAAATACCTGAAACTGACTAGAGAAGATTTCTCGGTGTGGATTCATGGATCACTTCAGGGCATCGTTGTAGCTCCTGAAATTACATAACAGATATTTCTCTGGGCTCTGTAGTTTTTGGCAGATTCTTTAAGGCTATGGCATTCCAAAGAGTTAAGAACACTAGACCAGATCAACTAAACAGTAGGCTGCAAGAAGATGGAAACGGTGCCTGCTTTTGTGTGGTATTTTCAATGTCAATGCTTAGAATACTGCCTAGGATATAGCAGATGTACATAAACACTGGATGATTTTCTTCAAAGGATACTTTTATTTTAACAGAGAATAAAGACATAGGCCAAAGACTTAGAACTTCACAGAAGGAAAGAGCAGTGAAATGAGAGATATCTGTATTGAACTAACTCAGGTGACATTGAATATTGCATAAACTTTTGAACCTGCATTGCTTCACTGACAAAATCATGTGAACAATAATGATGTCTTCTAACAGGGTTTTCATGAGTATAGAGTGACAAATGTTACTTTCAATTATTATCTTCATGATAATCATAAGTGTAATTATTTCTCTCACTGTAACTCTTGAAGTGGCTAGAAAGATAGTTTCTGGATCAATAGACAATGTACTTTTACAACACAACTAATTTAACCATTAAGCAAATTTCAAGTGAACAATTAAACCAAGTGTTTTCATGGCTTAGAGACAACAACAGAGGGACAAATTTGTGGACTGAGAAACTAAGATGAGAGAAAGGTAAACTCTGTACTAAACAAATTCTGAGGAGCTGGGTGTGGTGGCTCACACCTGTAGTCCCAGCACTTTGGGAGGCCGAGGTGGGTGGATCACCTGAGGTCAGGAGTTCGAGACTAGCCTGGCCAACATGGCAAAACCCCGTCTCTACTAAAAATACAAAAATTAGCTGGGCATAGCGGTGGGCACCTGTAATCTCAGCTACTTGGGAGGCTCAGGCAGGAGAATCTCTTAAAACCGGGAGGCGGAGATTGCAGTGAGCTGAGACTGCACCTCTGCACTCCAGCCTGGGTGATAAGAGCAAGACTCCATCTCAAAAACAAAACAAAAAAACAAATTCTGAGCATGGAGATAAGAAGTGTAAGCTTCTCTCCTACCAGAATTGTGCAAGGATTTGAGTTTGCCCAGATAACCTTCCTTTTGGGAGTGTTTTAAAATGTCAATGGGGAAAGAGACATACACCTAACTCATTGGCTAATCCAAGGTCACAAATGGATTTTAGGCAAAATAAATAAAGCAGCTTGATTTAGCTGAGCAATGAATTCTATGTCGTGCATATTTCTTCCTTAATTGAATGTAATTGGCTTTTTTGAAGCATCTCTGTGTGACCTTGGACATGTACTAATTCAAAACATTTTTTCCTAACTGTAAACTGGAAAAGCTAACAGGCTACGGAATTATTTATAATGAGGAAAGCACCCTGCGCAGTGTCTGGCTTGACGATAGGCACTCAGTGAATGATACTATCCTTTTCTTACTCTCTCCAAAGTCTTTCTTCTGGGCATCTTGGTATGCTAACCTATGCTTGCTGAGCACTGAGCAACAGGGAACTGGGTAAACCCCTCTAGCCTCTTGGTCATGCTCTCCTTCCCTGATGTCACAGGACACTTGTGCAAATGAAAGTATCAAGTGTTTAGACATTTCCCAAGCTAGATATGGAGATGATCCTAACAGCAATCCTGGTTGCAGAAAGAATATATTATTTCAAAACGTTAATGGTTTAATCTGGACAGTGAATCTTTGTACAAATACCGGGACAATCAGGAGGCTTCTATTTCCTAGGATTTTTGTGAAGTCAAACACAAATATGGTGAAAATGTTTATGCATTTATGTACTTGTCATGCATAAATGATACTTTGAAAGTCTAGAATGTGGTTTGTAAACTGTTACATGCTATATTCAAATGATAGGGTTATTTTTCACTGAGAAATCTGTTATAACCCCTCCCCTGCGCACTCAGCATCTCTATTTGATGTTTGTGAGGCATCTGAAACCCAGCGTGTCCAAAGCAGAGCTCTCATTTCCCTCCCTCTCCCTTCCTTGCAATACCAATCCTCTTCCCACCTCAAGTCTGCCCTTCCAGGGAACAGCACCACCATCTCCTGTGCAGCCTACTCTTGTTCTTGCCCTCTCTTTCCATTGACAGGTCCTGTTGGTTCTGTCTTTAAGGTATATCCTGAATCCCATCACTTCTCCAGTGCATCTGTGCCAGCTTCATCACTCTTCGGAGGTCCCGGGCCCCTGGAAGAACCTGTTGAACTCAGCGGGTCCTTTTCACATCTCTGCATCTCCATGGATGCCTCCCTGGTCCCAGCTACCTACACGCATCTGGACTTCTGGAATATTCTCTTAACTCCTCTGCTCTGTTCCTACACTTGTTTCCTTCCATCCTATTTTCCCAGAATGAGCATGTTAAAATGTAAATCTAATCGTATCATTCTGATGCTTAAAACCTTCCCTCATTTTTTCATGATACTGAGAATAAAACATAATCTCTTTATGAAACTACAAGACTGCACAATAGAGCCTTGCTAGCCTCCTGACCTCCTCTCCTACCATGCACTTCCTGTCCCTGCCTCCTCTTCCAGCCTCAGCCCCACCAGCTGCTTTTCCTCATGCACGCTAGCTCATTCCTGCTGCAGGTCCTCTGTACTTACTCTGAAGAATTCCCCGCCTCCAGATCTTCTCCCGTCTCGTGGCTTCACATCAGTCAAGATTCCAGGCAAATACCCCCTCTTTGCATGTGCCCCCCATGACTCCCTTCTGTAAAACAGCTGCCCCTGCGCCTGCCGTCAGTTTCCGTTCCCATCCTCTGCTTAATTTTCTTTTATGGCTTTGATCACAAGCTGAAGTTATATTATTTATCGAGTTTTTGTACTTGTGTTTTTGTTTGTCTTTCCCACAAGACTATGTGTTCCACATGGTGGGAAGTTTGTCTTATTTACCATTGTACTCCATTGCCTAGACCAGTGCCTGACACATGGCAGGTACTCAAAAGTGCAGAGTGCTCTATCCATGAAGGAGAGCGTCTCCAGCCTTGTCCCTGTTCTCATTCTTGGCAGGGTGAAATCTGTCTCTGTACCAGCAGGATCTTTGTCCAGAAGAGCATCTATACTGAATTTTTAAAGAGATTTGTAGAAGCTACCAGAAAGTGGAAAGTCGGCATTCCCTCTGATCCATTGGCCAGCATGGGTGCTCTGATAAGTAAAGCACATTTGGAGAAAGTGAGTAAATTTCTGCCATGTAAGTTACAGAATAAGTTCTTATTTGAAGAGAAGCTCAGTACGAGCATTGCACACATCAGACTCTGAAATATTGTTAGTTACTACCCCATTTTTGGACGCAGAGTCTAGACACTGTGGATAAGAATATGCAAATGCAGTCCTGGTGAAAGTGCATCCACATGAAATTAATGAACTTGAGAAGTCAGCGTGGAGATACCACCAGTAGAGAGGAGAAGCCAAATTTCAAAACAGAAAGATCAGCTAATAAGGGTGATGTGGAAGAGTGCCAGTGATTTCCATAGGTGAGCATTCTCTTTGGAAAAGGTCTGCCTCTGGTTTATAGCCAGAAGTGCCAACACAAGCAGTCCAAATTGTGTCGTCCTTAGTCAGTGGGGGACCAGGGGTAGCCCATCTGGAAGAAACCACTGATAGTCTCTGAGTGATTGATGAAACTCAGATCTTTAGGGTCATTTTTTAAGAAAAGCAGATCTGGCCCTTGACTGCAATTTAGGATTATTTTAATTTATTACCAGATGTGACTCCCAAAATAAGTCATACATTTTGGAGTCAGAAGGACTCTGCTTTCAGCTCAGTGCCACTGAGGGAAACTTGTCCCCATCAGCCAGCCAATGAGAGACAGAGCATTTATGTAAGTTTGTAGAAATCCCTGACACTGCACCGTGCACTCTCACATTGACTATATTTAACTTTGACTTTCAGGACACTGCAACACAGTTGCTTGCAGATGGAAAGATGAAGTAGCTTGAAGGCCTGTCCTTATTTCTTCTGTTTTCTCAGTGAAATAGGCATCAGGGTGAGGAGGGGAAAAGGTGTTGAAGGTTTCAGGAGGGAGGAGAGGGTATGAAATCATCTCGCAGTAGGTCAGGAGAACAGAACTGGGAAATGACCCAGTTATTAGCAGAGCAGCTCAAAGGGCTCACTTGAGGCTTGTAGTCTTTACTTAAAGTGAGGCTGACCAGCATGGCATGTTTTTCTCCAGCTCAATTTACCTACAGGATTGCGGGTACATAGACAATGGTCCGCAGAATGTCCAGTGAGACCAATAGTTGTTGATGGTCACGCATGGAGTGAAGATTTTCCAGGTGCAAGAGACTCCCCTGTTCTCTCTCATTCTGGCTCTTTTGGACACTAGGGCTCCCTGCCTGCCTGCCCACACCTGCAAATGACTGGTGAAAAACAATGTTAGTATGCCCCCGATCGCTTCCTGGGAAACAGGAAGGGGTGGAACAAAAGTTAACCTTCTAGAGTACCTTTCAGCAGGTTCAGGCAATACTGCAGTGTGAGGTTCCCTGTGCAATTCACTCACTCAGAATTTCAAAGTTCTTTCTGTATCAACTCAGCAGATACACTATTTTTTTCTATTTTAGTCGCTACCATAATAACTATTCTAGTTACCCAGTGAGAGAATATATATTAGTGAAACAAATAGAAGTAGTGACTTTTCTGTATCAGTTGAATGATCTCTCTCTCTCTCTCTCTCTCTGTGTGTGTAAGAGAGAGAAATCCATGCCACGCTTTGACTCATATTGGTAGCTATGGCTTTTCTCTGTGATACTCTAAATAATTTGTCTTCAATATGTTGTAATTCCTGTGGACTTTCATACAATATTTTTGATGCCCAGTATGTTCCTCCTTGGCCACAGGAGGTTTCTTCTTTTTTTTTTTTTAACATGTACTAAGCTGAAATGAGCCACTGTTGGAGAATTAAATATTTAATATTGTGATGACTTAAACAAGACGCTAATGAGTTCTAGTAATTGGCATAAACTGCAGATTCTATGTGTTTATGAAATGCAACACTAAATAGGCCACATGCCCTCACCTTTAAAACCACTCCAGAAGCCCTCTCTTTAACCCGCTCTCTTGTCCTTCTGAGCCCACCGGAGGCCCACCTGTAGCATCTCTGTTCTGTGACAACAGGCGGCCTCAGGTGGTCTCAATTGCTCTGCTACACATGGACAACAAGACCTCTCTCTACTGAGCCTTGGTTCCTTTCAGTGGAGAATGGTGATCAAGGCCAGCATTTGAGCTTAAGGGTGACCATTAGGGGATTTCCTATGACATAACAAGTAGCTTAATGACATCCAAGAAGAGGTCAAGAAGAGGTGGCTTAAAACCTTGTGATACTTCACACACACTGCCCTTTTTTTATTTTTTATTTTTGTTTATTTATTGTTTTGAGATGGAGTCTCACTCTGTCACCTAGGCTGGAGTACAATGGCACGATCTTGGCTCACTGCAACCTCCACCTCCTGGGTTCAAACAATTCTCCTGCCTCAGCCTCCCAAGTAGCTGGGACTACAGGTGTGTGCCACCACGCCCAGCTAATTTTTGTATTTTTAGTAGAAACAGGGTTTCACCATGTTGGCCAGGCTGATCTTGATCTCCTGACTTCAGGTGATCTGCCCACCTTGGCCTCCCAAAGTGCTGGGATTAAAGGTGTGAGCCACTACACCTGGCCACACTGCCTGTTTTAAGAAGGGTCCTGGCTGGGTGCGTTGGCTTATGCCTGTAATCCCAGAAGTTTGGAAGGCTGAGGCGGGTGGATCATTTGAGGTGACAAGTTCAAGACCAGCCTGGCCAACATGGTGAAACCCCGTCTCTACTAAAAACACAAAAATTAGCCAGGCAGTGGTGGTGCGCACCTATAATCCCAGCTATTTGGGAGGCAGAGGCAGGAGAATCACTTGAGCCTGGAAAGTGGAGGCTGCAGATTCCGCTACTGCCCTCCAGTCTGGGCCACAGAATGAGAACCTGTCTCAAACAGCAACAGCGACAACAGCAACAACAGAAGGCTCCTGAGCCCATGCTGACGTTTCTAATGTAGCGAAATTACCTTTTAAACCTTGCTCTAATATCGTAGTAATTTCATCACTGGTGATGATGTGTCATGCTGTGTATGGTCATACCCCATGTTACTCACAGTCAATGCCTAAGTCTTTAGAATAACCTAAGAAACTGGCTGCGATCTTTCCCGTTACCTCTGTGACCCTTCCCTTTCCTTATTCCACTCCTGCATACTGGCCTCCCTGTTCTTCCTGAGGAATACCAGGCACCCTCCTCCTTCTTGGCGGTTGCTCTTGTTGCTCACGCTGCCTGGAATGCTCTTCCTTCGGATGTATGCATGGCTCTCTCCTTCCCCTTCTTAGAGTAGATGTCACCTGAATGATGGCTTTCCTGCCTACCCTATACACAGTAGTACCTTGTAAAACTTTGACTTCTTTGGAGCTTTATTTTTCTCCTTGGTTCTTACTGTCATCTGACATGCAGTATATATGTCTTACCCCTTTACTGACTATCTTCTCTGGACTAGAATGTCAGCTTCTTGGTCTATTTCATTCATTGCTGTATCTTTAGACTCTAGAAGGCTCCTGGAACATAGTAGGTGCTTAGTATTTGTTGGGCGAATGACTGAATTAACACTACATGATGTGTTCCAGTTACAGTATATCCCCCAAATGTAAGGTATCCATTTTCTTTGAATTTTTTTTTTTTTGATCCTTAGATTAAACTACCTGGAATTTGGTCCAAAATGCACAGGTTCTGGCCATCTCTGGCCAGCATGACTCAGCATCAAGACTCTGAAAGGAAAAACAAAATAAATACAAAAACTAGAACCCAGCCTTTCTCCAAGAAAATGCTTGAACCATCCGATCCTGGAGTCTCTAGTATCACTGATCACTAAATCATAACAATGATAAAGGGGCTATATAGACACATACATGCGTTTGAGGTTTGGCTTGAAATTCCTCTTTAACTGTTCACCATTGGTACAAGTATTGGTGATTCCAGCTTAGGTCACAAGTAGTTTTGGTATCTAACTCTAGTTTTCTGAAAACATTTGGTTAAATATGGATCTTTAATACCTCAAGAGTATACAAATCTAACTTTTTAAATGCCAATTTAGGAATCTAAAAAATTACATCTAGATTATTATCAAAAATAATTTCAGATTTCTATAGCATTACTACAAATACACAAGTGAAAAAATTTCTGCAGATTCATATTTCTCCACTGTCCTTGTGTTTCTCAAGAATCAACTTATTAAAAAGATACCAAAATATTTCTATTATAACACATTTTAGTTATAGACACCATTCACATTTGGAATGCCTCCCAAATTCTTAAACTTTAGTTTTGTGTTTTGGTGATTCCTAGTAGTTTTCATCACCCATAAAATAAACACAGAATTTAGCGAGTTTAGGTGTCAGAATACTTCAGCATAAAATATCCGTATTTTTCCCTAGAGTAAAATATATACCCTGAACATTGCGTCTATGAGTGACTCCACAGAGAAGACCTAGATAACCTTTTCTTCAGTAGGTTTGTGGTTAGAATCTTTCAACCTAAAATAACAACATAGAGAAGGACTCTCTAAAGAAAATAAAAGCGACTTTCTTTGGGAATTAATGCCAGAAGATTATGAACTGGGATATGCGTGTTGTGATGGATTCTGGGCATAGCCAGGGAGGTAAAGGAAGACGAGGGTTTTTAAAGGGAAAATGAGGAAGGTGACAGAATGTTGTTTTGAAACAATTATCGTTGGCTACAAGGATCAATAATAAGGGTGATTTATTATTAAATGGGAGCACCAGTCCAAGGTTGAACGGACAGTTGCTGTATAAACATCCTTGTAGAAGTATTTTTTGGGCAAGGTTGCGGTGGCCTTTGTGCAAGGTTGTGGTTTTGGTAGAGTCTCTTGTGATAGTTTTTGTTATCAGGCAAATATGTGTGAGGACTCTGTCCGTGGCAGATGGTAGCAGAGGACTCAGTTTGCAAGTTCATGTCCCAGAAGCACAGGCATACATGTGGGAGGGACACCCTACTCTGAGTTTCTGAAGACGTGTCGCTCTCTGGCCGGCCCTCCTTCTGCCTCAGCCCAGCTCTCTATTTGGATTTTGTCAAGCAAGTTCTTATCTGAATCCAGACTAAGACATGCAGGGAGAGCTTGGTTTCCCTAGGACTCACCTTGTTCTGGC